AATTGGTGGGTTTTTGTTAAATGTGAGCCAAAATCATCACAATTAAAAGAACCAAAGACTACTTCAGTCTGTGTGCATTGAATTTATTTAATACACAAGTTTCACAATTTGAGTTGAATTACTGAAATAAATTAACTTTTCCATGACATTCTCATTTATTGAGATGCACCTGTATTAGCCTTATTAGGTAAAATAGGCTTTGTAGTTCACGCGCGTTCCAGTATCGATGGAAAAATATCATGAGCAAAAATATGCCACAGTGGCCCGGGTCTCGCGCCGAACGGCACGGTGAACGGCTGGCTGTTTCCAATGAATGCAGTAGCTTAGGGTGCGCGTGAGGCACCGACGCGATCAAACAGCTGAAACATTAAATAGACTACTCCGTCATTTTTGGTCATACAGTAAAGGCATAATTCAAAACTGCAAAGTGCAACGTGTTAGCAGTTTGAAAATTCAGGAATAATAGAAAAGTTAATAAGAATTCGTTCTAAATGCAGCACCGTTCTTATTTCGCTCTGCATAACCTGAACGAACAAAAAATTGAAATGAAAACATTTCGCTTTTAATCTGTGTATTTAACAGCCTGGGAGACCTTCCTAGGGCAGTACCTTGCCTCACCGACTAAAATCAGGGCGCCCACTACGGAGACGGCACCAGAGGTGAGGGGGCACAGTGACCGAGGTGGCCGGGCCGGGGCCCCTCAGGCCCCCCCCCGTGGCGCCGACGCTGGATGTAACGATTGAAAACCGATTCAAATCGGTTGAGATGCCAACCAAATCGCGATTCATTTAGGGGTAGGAGTTTATATAAATGCATGTCTGAGGGGAACTTACTGTCTTTAGAAAAGTTTAGATGGTATTTTTTCTTGTCATCTTGCCTCTGTATAATGCATATTAAAGTTCATAAGTGCAGCGCTGCTTTGTTTACAGCGGAAACCAAGGAAACGCTTTAAGCGCCACCTGCTGGCAGAGAGTGAATCTGCATCTCATTCAGCTCGTCCGCTGTTTCATGCAGATATTTTTATGTATAGTTTCACAAAACTGAAGTCAAACCATTCTGTTTTTGCTTCAAATTTCGAAATTATACAATCTAAATTAGATTAAAAACTGATCATGTTGCATGTATGCAGCATCTTTGTTTGGATCATGATTAAAATTTTTGACACATATTTCTGCATTTCAGTTGGTGTGAAATGTTCAGCCATTGCTGTTATGTCCAATTACTCTAAGTATTTGGGTACTTGTGTGTCATATAGAAGTCCAAGTGTGTCATATAAAAGTGGACAGATATTTCTATGGGGAGAAGGTGACTGATCCGGTGATTATCTGAGATGCCACTCCTGAAGGAGACGGTTTAGGAGCTTTAACAATATCAGTCATGCCAGCTTGAGCTAGTCTCACCCTGGAGACAAGTGTGGGTCATGAAACTTGAGAGGTCTGAAAAAACAAATCTAAAATCAATATCATCCACATCGCAAAACTCTCTGCTCACTCTCTCTCTCTCTCTCTCTCTCTCTCTCTCTCTCTCTCTCTCTCTCTCTCTCTGTCTGTGTACTTCTGCATTGAGTGACACTTGTTTTTAATTGTTGCTTCCCTCGGCAAGATCTAATGGACAGTTTATTCAACCTTCAATCTAAAAGTTATCATCAATCATGTTTTAAAATATCAATAGCACATTACATCAGTTCAGGCTCTTTCAAAGGCAATTACTATTATGCGGTCCCTTTTTCAGAGCTCGGGTCTAGTTGTGTCAAAATTCACAAATACATTATTGACATTTGCTTCAATATGCATCCCCCCATAACGTACTGTAGGCAATTGGCAGCGTCTCCCTGAACGTAATAAAAACATAAGAGACTATAGCATTTACCCCCTATAGTCCACCCATAAAATCACTAAACATTAGAACAGACACTATTTGCAAAGCCACTCTCAACTGCTGTATCGATCCATTCAATAGTGATCTAATAAGGTTCTTGTAACCAAAGAGCAAGAGAACTGACTTGAAATAATATTCAGATCGCTATTGTGATTAAATATTCCACAGCTTTTATATAGTAAACATAAAATATACAGCAACAGCACAACCATAAAAGTGATGAGAAGACTAGGCTTCTGGTAATGATTTGGTAAAACCCAAACTTTTTCTCCGTCATTGAATTTCTGGCTGCTCTTATTGAAGAGCCATAGCCATTGGGCTATTTGTTAGAAGTCTGCCATTGCACAGAACCTCTGATCCTGCTATCACAGCTCAACTGATGAACTCAATTTAAACTAAGGCCTGGTGGGGCCACAGACTTCTCAGGCAAGCTTGTGCTGTCCAGAGATTGGGCCATCATCTAAATTTAACTCCCTGAGAAAAAAGATAGTGCTGCTATCAGAAGAAACAGAATAGCTTCTGTTGTTCAAGAATAGAGACCTCTGTCTAGTCTCTATGTTTTTAAAGGGCTTTCTTTTGATTTTGTTACTAAATTAATTCATCAAATAAATGTAAATGCTATCATCATTTTTACACCCTCATAATGTTCCAAACCTGTTTGATCTACTTTCTTCCACACACACAAAAAAAACAAATTAATTCAGTTGTGGACACTGCGGTTCCACACTTGGGAAATGGGTTTTCTAAACATTAAATGAAACTGTAAACTCAAAAACGTAATAAATTCCAAAACATTGTCTAGCAGTAATCAGTGTAAATACAACAAAATCAGACACGTCAAACTAACCCAACCAAATCTTCTGCAGCTTGCAAGTAGAGATGTAACGGTATGAAAATTTCTTATTACAATTGTGCTGGATATGTTCAAAAAGTACAGACACATAATGATGTCCGGATTTTAAATGACAGCATGACTGACAACAGTTTATCTAATAGCATGTACAATATGTTCAATTAAAGCCTTGAAAAGTTTCATAAAATGGTAAACCTCACATTTCAGCCTTTAAATAAAGAAAAGGGTTGTCAAAATGATAATTGATTAATAGGAAATTATTATATGGATTTTATCTGCTACGTAAATAATTCTACATACCTTATCAGAATTATTTAAATGTGTAGAATCCACATAAGCTAGTTTTTCATCAACCAGTCAAAATTTACAGCAGGTTATGCAAATTCGGTCCATTTTTTTTGCCAGACAAATACTGCACACAGCCTGAATGTAAATGTAACTCTCTGTAAATCCACTCTCTGACAGCAGGTGGTGCTGTTGGAACAGCAGAATTAGAGACGTTTCCCTAACCTCCGTGGACAAAGCAGCATTGCGATAAGAATACTTCTTTATTAGGTATTACATGGAGTGAAGATGAAAACAAAATGACATCACAGGGCTAACATTTGAGAGCAGTGGCACCAGCGCCACTAAGTTCTACAGATGGTGGCGCCAGGAGCAGATTTGGTAGCGCTGGGGGTGGTGTGCGGGAGTATTAAAATATAGATCATTTAATCATAAAATTACTATAGTTTTGCATTAATAAGTGCAGTTACTTATAATATTACATGTTCATTTCTTGTTTATTTTAATTTTGTTTTGACAGTATTGCATTTGACAGTAAAGCACTAAGCTTGAGTTAAGATGCATACAAAAT